GACTCATTAAACACTATAGTCAAATTAGTTGATAACGATTGCTTTATGGCCTCAATAGACCTCAAAGATGCCTATTATTCAATACCTATTCGGGAAAGAGACAGAAAATATTTGAAATTTTATTGGAATAATCAACTTTACCAGTTTACTTGCCTACAAAATGGGTTGTCTAGCGGCCCTAGAAAATTTACTAAGATCCTTAAACCTGGCTTGTCATCATTACACATCAAAGGACACATTGTTTCCAGTCATTTAGATAATTTACAGGGCAAACCCCCTGAGGAATGTTGCTCTAATTTAATAGATACAGTGACACTTTTTACACAACTGGGCCTATTAGTCCATCCTGAAAAGTGTAATTTCATCCCCTCACAAGAAATAGTGATTTTGGGGTTTTAATAAACTCAGTAAAAATGACAGTCAAACTGACACCAGAGAAAGCACTAGCCCTAAAGTCAGATTGTGATTTGTTTCTTAAAAAATGCCCTGGTAATATTGTAAATCGAGAAGTTGCTCAAATTATTGGGAAAATAGTATCAAGTTTTCCTTGGGTCCTGCACGGACCTCTTTACTATCGACATTTAGAAAGGGACAAAACCTCAGCTTTAGCTAGGATTAAGGGTAATTTTGATGCTAGAATGACCCTCTCTAAAGAAAGTATATTAGAGTTAAAATGGTGGTCAAACAAATTGATAGATGCAATTAAACCCATTTCACATGGGGAACCTTCCCTAGTTATTACAACAGATGCTTTTCTGCAAGGTTGGGGTGCTGAATGTCAGAGTATAGCCAGTATGACTGGCAAGGCTATGCATTAAGTGTATAAATTGTATGTATATTTTATTATTAAAATACAGTTCTTAAATTTTTAAATTGATTTTGTCATTTTTTTATCAGCATCATTGATGCTGATTTTTGAAAATACCACTTCTAAAGCACATGTCTATGTTATTATATTGTGGAATTTTTCAATTTGACATGTATGCATGTAGAAATTTTAAATATATAATTCATATAATTATGATGTACAGTAATGTGTAAACAAAATCCTCATATAGTTTATACTTGTATTAATAGGGATTGTCGACAAATAAATTGTCCTTCAATTGCAGACTTAATTGTTCTGCGATTGTTTCAACCCCGGCCCTTTCCCATCACGGATGAGTGGAGGTTTATATGTTCATTGTAGTTAAATTTTATAATATATATATAGTACAATCTAATCTACAAACATGCATGCTTTGCCGTTCAACGGCTGTGATCAATGCAGCTTATTGGTATGATATAACACCATTTCCCACTTTTATTGGACAAGTTCGCATATGAAGAGCAAAATCTATTTATTGTCAGGCCCCCCTCGCCCCCCCAAAAAAAAAAGCTAGCGATCTTTATTCAATATGAACAACCCAACTCAAAATGTGACAAGGAAAAACTTGGGCATGTTTGTCTTATACTATACATACTGGCGATAGATCACTCAAAAATAGAAACTATAATATATAACTAACATAACAAATTGGAATTGAACTTGTACCTATTTCTCACAAAGGTCAGTAATTATTTTAAAAAAGTACTGGTATATGCATGCTGCATATCCTAAATTTCAAAGCTCACAAACATATCTTCAGCTGACATAATATGGTCACATTTTGAAACAACTAACTCAACGCAAACTGCAATTGCCAGGTTACCAAATAATCAAAAATCTTGGACCTGGCCTTTTTTGGCAATGGCATACTGGGGGGGGACTCAAAATCAAAAATATTTTACAAATATAAGTTTTTATCAAAGTCAGCTGTTTAAAAGGATTTTTATTGGCTGGCGTTTAAAGTGCCACTGCGATGGAAAATTGTGCTGTCTTTTTATTGTATATTCAGAAAGTATGTCAGTAGATAAACAAAATTACCAAATATCAGCGTCCAATTCCATTTCCTTCTGCCTTTTTTTTCAACGCAAACATGCAAATTTT